TGAATCCTTGATCAATTATATATTATTATTGTTATTTTGTGTCTTACACTGTCTGTTGTCTCCCTTCACCCACATTTTGGTTATTCGTCCCCCTCGGGGGTGGGTTATATATCCAACATAATTTTTAATTTTTTAACAAATCAAGTTGGGAAATATTTGGTTTAACCTAGGTAATGCGAAGGAGACCCGTGCAACCTTGTTCCGATCCCCCAGCTCCACAGCATACAAGGACATGGGCATTGGACACAGCTGGAACTTGGGGCAGGGATACTCAGAAGCTGACAGCTGCATGCCCTGATTGTTCTGCAGAGACTCGACGGGCTCTTTCTCCACAAGCATTAGGCTGCCTTGACAGGTATCAGAAACTCATCTAGGACATGGATCTTGAATGGGAGCTGTGTGGGCAGTACATTTGACCGGGAAGGGGGAGGGCCAGGAAACAGACTTAAAGGCTTATAGGCCGGAAATGAATAATGGTAGAAGTTCCCGAGATCCCAAGTAGACAGACGTGGGAAACTGAAAACTGGGAAGAGAGTGTATGTGGACATGCTTTCAACGCTGTACGTTAGAGTCTGGGAGACTGCGGCACCTGTGCAGGGGGACCTCCGAAGTAAAAATCATGCCCCACATGTCCCCCCATAATAATGCCAATTTTAAGGTGCTGTTTGCCAACACATGTCCCTTACTGTACTCTTGAAGGTCAACTGCTTGAAGGCCATCTGCCTAAAGGTTATTTGTCATCAAAAGCAATCAGACCATCTAACCCTAAGTAAGGCCCACTTCCTTCTGAGAAGGACCATGGATTGTTCCCCTGGACAAGAGCTCAAAGACACCTCTGGTCAAGCCAGCTCGGAAAACCAAGGTTAGGTTGCCATCTTGACTCTAGAGCCTGCCCATCTTGTCATGTATGTGCCTTCCTGTTACATGTATGCCTCTAGTGCCTGCCTTTCCTATTGCGTGTGTACCCTTAGTTCGCCCCCTATTGTTAATTTCTTCCCTTCAGTTACTCCTTCATTCTGGTTCTGGTCAACATGAGAAGTGAGCCCTTGCATGCTTTATCTTGTCTGATGTCTCTTTCATTTACCCCTCAATTACATAACACCACCCCCACACCGCTCCTTGGGCCCATTAGGCTGTGGAGGCTGGTCCCCACAGACAGAGACTGTGATTGTTGACTTCGGAGGGTATGAGAGGCCAGGATCCCTGCTGGAGAGGCCTGCGCTTAGAGCACACAAAGGGTTAACAGCTGGTCTAGTTTCTTCTCCATCCCACAGGAAGGACCCAGATGTGTGGAAACCAGAGAGGCTGTCAGACTGAGGTGTGAAAAAGTCAGCCCAGGCAGCAGAACTCCATCTGGAGATCAAATGATGTACAGTGGGCTTGCAGCAGACTTCCAAAGAAGTGGCTGTACTAAATCTGGGGCCAATATGGAGCCATATCCTGCCCTAGCAGAGCAGGACTGGAAGACAATTTCTTCTTCAAAGCAAAGGGAGGCTATGGAGAACGCGAAGAAATGGACTCTTAAACGTACGGCAAAAGGCGAGCGTGACTGGGAGTCTGGGGAAGTGAAGACGGGGAACGAAGCCTCAGGTCAGGTGAGGATGCTGTAGTGGTTTTCTGCTGGGTGACGTGGGTCCTTCCTTCCATCCCCTGGTTCAGAAGAGGTACTCCAAGAGCATTATGGGAGTTCTGGTTCCTCACAGCTAATCTTTCTTCCCTTAGGTTTGTCTTCGAAGGAGACAGGCTGGCCCCGAGAGGAGAAGGGGAAGCCCGCAGTGGTGGTGAGTGGGAGTGACCTCGCTGTTCTGAAATGCTGGCTCAGCCCAGTGAATAGGCGTATGTTCTCTGTCTTGAGAAGACAGAAGGCGATCAGCATTTGGCCATTCCATGCCTTGGCATCAGTAATCATAGTAAGTATTTTAGAATAGTTTCTGCATTCTATTTTTCTTTTTTGGAAAATATTATTATGGGTAATAGTAAGAATCCAGGAAATTCATGACATAAGAAATATTTTTGAAAAGCAGAGATTACTAAAACTGTTACATGCATTGTTAAGTTTTACTACACATTTAAATACATATGATCTAATGATACCATGTGGCATACTGGACATCTGTTTACTTTTAAATTATGGCACATTTTTAACCTGCAGAAGTAGCATCATAACAATAGGTTCTTAGGTACCATCATGTAGTTTCAAGAATCATCTCCAGTGGCCAGTGTTACTGACAGGAATATGTTATTGTGTTGCTGAATCTCAAAATATGAAAATATTCACTTTTCATCTTTTCTGTTTAGTTCCAACACCAGCTGTCCACACAGCACTTCTTTCAGTGACCCTGGCCTCCTAGAACTAGAACCAGTCTTGCAGGTTAAAAGTTCTTCAGACTGCCAGGTAGGCTGATTCTAGCTCCAAGCTTAAGAGTCCGCACGACACTCACTTCCGATCTACTGGCTACAAGTCTGGGGTGTCTGTTACCCCTTCAAAGAGCCTTGGTGGTGTGTAATGGGTTCCACGTTGAGCTGCTAGCCTCAAGATCAGCAGTTTGAACCTACCAAGTACTACGGGAGAGAAAGACGAGGCTTTGTGCTGCCATAAAGATTTAC